ACCCATTATGAGCCAAGATGGACTGAGCCTTATTTGTCCTCCCTTGACCTTGGGGGGGTCGCATGGTGGTGAGAAGGGAAGTAGTGGTGGGAAGGGTTCTACTAATTAAGTGATAGCTAAAATATACACATGGCGGAGGACACACAACTTTGCTTGTGCTGAAAGAGTTGAGAGGTGAGAGGGATAGAAAGAGTTAATCAAACAGGAGTTTAGAGTATGTGGGCAAAGAACTCTAAACCTAGTAGTTAAGAAACTAGGAGAAAAGGGTATAGAAGGGGATCATCCTTGATCTGTCCACACTAGAAATAAATACTTACATTAACCCAATATAAGAAATGTCAAAGTGCAGCCCTGGCTGGTGTGGCTCAGTGGTGTGGCTCACTGGATTAAGCACCAGCCTGAGAACCACAAGGTCGCTAGTTCAATTCCCAGTAAGGGCACATGCCTGGGTTGGTGGCCAGGTACCCAGTTGGGGGTGCATGCGATATTTCTCTCACACATCAATGTTTCTCTTCCCCTCTTTCTCCTTCTCTTCTCCTCTCTCTAAACATACATGAATACAATCTTTAAAAAAAAAAAGAAAGAAAAGAAATGTCAAAGCGCATGGACTTGGAACCAAGAAGCTTCAGTTCAAATCCTGGATTTGTTCCTTGCTTTTGCCGCTGTAAAATGAGCCTCATAATAATTGCCAACAAGATTTAACTAAGGTTGCAAGCTAGAAAAGTAACATCATCAATGCTAACAGTGACAAGTAAGGATGTGGCTGACAGGAGTTGAGAGTTAAAAGGTAGTAAAGAAAGACAGAGGTGCCAATATCTTCATCTCACAAAGCTACAGTCCAAAGTTGATGGAGTAAGACATAGGGGTTTAAGTATATTATTTAAAGTAACAGAGGGAAGCAGTAGAATAACTAAAAGGATATTATAATCATCAAAAATTGGAAGAAGAGGGAAAGAGGAAGGTGTGAGCAATGATCTCCTGTACTTATAGCATGAAGAAATAATTTCTAAAGCTGATAAATCAAGAAATAGCCATAAGCATATTTTTTCAAATATATGAAAGTAACCATCAAAATAATAAAAATAAAAATGGTTAAAAATGAATGCCCATGAGGAGTACAGAAAGATGGAGACTGGTGAGCTTTTTCACATGTCCTATTATACGATTTTATATTTAATTATATGTGTATGTGTGTTATACAGAATTTAAAATTTCAGAATGCAAAATGCAAACATCATTTTTAAAAAACTTAACAGTGGTAAAATGCAACTAGTCTGATGAAATTGTAGATTACACGTTAAAATTAAAAGAAAGCCAATGTCATCTAATTGCATAAATATGCAAACTGCCATACAGACATTGAAATACATATCCTATTACATTAGAAAGGGAGAGCTATCAGGTTTCCGCATAAAGAGGTGGTTTGCAAAATTTTTAACCAATAGACTCTTGTTTTAAAAGAAATGTTGTCCCAAAAATCCACCATATAAAACAGATCCAAGGGAAACTGCTCTGGCTAAAGTAGGAAGTTAGTTAGGAGCCGGATCTAAACAGTTTCCCCTGGGTGGTGTGGGAACCCTCTGATGGAGATGATACCTGTGAAATCATCTGGCCTCTGATTCCAGGCTTAGGAAGCCAATTATCTGATGGCCATTCGGAAGCTATCACCTAGCATTGTTTAAAAAAAAAAAAAAGCACTGGCTGGTGTGGCTCGCTGGGTTCAGCACAGACTTGCAAACCGAAAGGTCACAAGGTCAATTCCCAGTCAGGGCACAGGCCTAGGTTGCTGGCCAGGTCCCCAAATAAGGGTGTGCAAGAGGCAACTGATCAATGTTTCTCTCACATATCAATGTTTTTCTCCCTCTTTTATCTTCCTCCTTTCTGCTCCCTAAAAAATAAAGTCATTTTTTAAAAAAAGAAGCTATTGCATAATAAAAGCTACTGCCCAAGGCATCACAATGGTTACCCTGATGAGAATATTTCACAACATCTTCATGAAATGACTCAGTTAGAAAGCCTGAACAGTCTGATAACAACTAGAAAAACTGAAGCAGTAATCAAAAAACTCCTGACACACAAAGCCCTGGACCAGATGGCATCATAGGCGACTTTTACCAAGCATTCAAAGAACTAATAACTATCCTTCTCAAACTATTCCAAAGAATTAAAGAAGAGGGAAGCCTTCCAAGCTTATCTTACAAGGCCCGTATTATCCTAATTCAAAAACCAGGTAAAGACACAAGAAAGAAAGAAAATTATAAGCCAATATCTCTGATGAACATAGATGCTAAAATCCTCAACAAAACATTGGCAACCTGGATCCAGCAATGCATTAAACAGATCATACACCATGATCAAGTGGGATTTATCTCAGGGGTGCATGGATGGTATAACATTCACAAATCAGTAAGCATAATACATCACATAAACAAAATGAAAGACAAAAATCACATGATCATATCAATAGATGCTAGAATACAATTTGACAAAATGCAGCACCTATTTATGATTTTAAAAAAAAACCCTCAGCAAAGTGGGACTAGAGGGAGCATACCTCAACATAATACTAGTAAGTGAATTTGGCAAAGTAGCAGGATACAAAGTCAATATTCAGAAATCAATGGCATTTTTTAATACCAACAATGAATTATTAAAAAGAGAAACTAAGAAAAAAATCCTATTTACTAAAGCAAACAAGAAAAATAAAGTACCTAGGAGTAAGTTTAACCAAGGATGTAAAAGACCTGTACTCGGAAAACTACAGAACACTGAAAAAAGAAACTGAAGAAGATAAAAATAAATGGAAGCATAAACCATGTTCATGGATTAGAGAATTAATACCATTAAAATGTGCATACTACCCAAAGCAATCTAAAATACAATGTAATTTCTATTAAAATACTAATGGCATACTTCACAAATCTAGAACAAATATTCCAAAAATTTATATGGAACCAAAAAGACCCTGAACAGCCTCAGCAATCCTGAGAAGAAAGGACAAAGTTGGAGGGATCAAGAATCCCTGAGATCAAACTGCACTACAAGGCCACTATATTCAAAACAACTTGGTAATGGCATGAGAACAGACACATAGATTATTGGAACAGAACAGAATACCAAGAAATAAACCCATGCTTTTGTGGTCAATTAATATTCAACAAAGGGGGCACAAGTACACAATGGAGTAAAAACAGCGTCTTCAATAAATGGTGTTGGGAGAACTGGACTGGTATATGCAAAAAAATGAAACTAGACCACCAACTTACACCATACAGCAGAATAAACTTAAAATGGATAAAGGACTTAAATATTAATCATGATACCATAAAAGTCCTAGTGGAAAATATATGCAGGAAAATTTCAGACATCTCACATAGCAATATTTTTGCCAATTTATCTCCTAGGGCAAGGGAAATAAAGGGAAAAAAACAAATGGGATTACATCAAATTAAAAGGTTTCTGTACAGCTAAAGGAACCATCATCAAAACGAACAGGGAACTGACCGTATGGGAGAACACTATTTGCCAATGATATGTTGGACAAGGGTTTAATCTCCAAAATAAAGGACTCATGTGACTCAACACCAGGAAGACAAACAACCCAACTGAAAAATGGGCAAAGGACCTGAATAGACATTTCTTCAAAGAGGACATACAGGTGGCCCGCAGATATGTGAAAAAATGCTCAATATCATTATCCATCAGAGACATGCGAAGTAAAACCACAATGAGATATCTATCACCTCACACCTGTCAGAATGACTATCATCAATAAATCAACAACCAACAAGTGCTGGTGAAGATGTGGAGAAAAGGGAACCCTAGTACACCATTGGTGGGAACACAGACTGGTGCAGCCACTATGGAAAACTAAATGGAATTTCCTCAAAATCTAAAAATGGAACTGCCTTTTGACCCGGCAATTCTACTTCTGGGATTATACCCTAAAAATCCAGAAACACCACTTCAAAAGAACTTATGTACCCCTATGTTCATAGCAGCACAATCTACAATAGCCAAGTGCTGGAAACAGCCCAAATACCCATCAGTAGGAGAGTGAATTAAAAAAACTGTGATACATTTCACAATGGAATACCACACAGCAGAAAGAAAGAAGAAATTCCTACCTTTTATGACAGCATGGACGGAACTGGACGCTATTATGCTAAGTAAGGTAAGAAAGTTGGTGAAAGATAAATACCATATAATCTCACTTATAACTGGAATCTAATGAACAAAATAAACTAATGAGAAAAATAGAACCAGAGACATGGAAATATGGAACTGACTGATAGCTGTAGGAGGAGAGAAGGAGAAAAATGGTGGAAAGAAGGGGAAGGGATTCGTCAAAGAACATGTACAAATGACCCATGGACATGGACTAGAGAGAATGGATTGACTGTGGGCGAGAAGGTTGGGCTGTGTGGAAGGGGTGCAAAAAGGAAAAAAATAGGACTTTAATAGAATAAACAGTAAAAAAAATTTAAAAAGAAAAGCTAAAATAAGTAACTAAAAAAAGAAAGAATAAGTAAATAAATAAATCCTGGCTACCATCACTTACTAACTCTATAGCTGTGGTCGTGTTCTTTACCTTGTCCAGACCTCAGGCCTTATTTGTAAATGGGTCCTAAAATCTAGTCCTTCAGATGTATCTCCTGAAAACACCAGAACAGCGCAGGGTTGTTGGGATTAGAGAATGAATGTAAAACATCTAGCCCAGTGCTCAGTACATGTAAGCAGTCGTTAAATAATAGCTATTATTATCAAGCTTCTCATATGCCAGACAATCTGAAGCACCAGAGGAGAAGTGTCTTGTCCACAGATACATAGCTAGATGTAAGCACAGCCAGAAGCCAATTAATTTTCTCTCTTTTTTTTTTGATGATGAGTTTTCTTATAGAGACAAACCCTTCTCACCCGAAAAGACTGAAAAGTGGTTGCCAAACAACTATTAAACTGCTGTAAAAATATGTGTCTTATACATATGGAGAAAATTGTACCTTGGTGAAGCCTATTTGCTCCTTCCGAAAAGTTTCCAGGGGTTTGATCAGCAAATCACTAGCATTGTGTACCTAGAGAAAAGAAAGAACACACAAAACAATTTTTAAATTAGCAAAATTCAGATTCAAGAGTCCTTGCTACTAGGGCATTTCCTTTTAATACACCATCGTGCAAAATGTTAACTGGTGAGCTGGTTTGTTGGGGTTTGTTCCTGTTTTCTTCCTATCTTGGTCTCTTAAAATCAAATGCTTTGAGAGGAAATGAGAGAAGGAACATTAGGGGCATTTCTCTGTAATTCTGATCAGAGATTTTCATTGATGAATATTCAGAGTCATGTCCAGAAGCAGACACAGGGGGCCTAAAGTATGTGTGGTAAGGAGTAGCAAAAGGGAATGAAAAATATATGAGAAGGCCAAGTGCACCAAGCACAAGCCATTTCATGGGAGGCAAATGAGTTAGCAGTAACAGCATCACGGTAAATCTCGGGAGAAATTGTTTCCAGTCCTGTCCTGGTGTGTCATCAAACCAGAATATTTCCTTCAGAATTTGCAGTGTATTAAAACATCACAGAAGATACTAGATCAGGCCTTCCATTTATCTAACTAGAGATGCTGTGGAGCTGATAGAAACAACCTGTCCAGGTACTACAATATTGCCATAGATATGTTTTTGGAAACATAAAAACATCATCTCCAAACTGGACCCTTTGCTCAATGGGCAGGGAGAGACATACAAAGCTTTGTTTTCATGTAAACCTCCTGGGAGAAGGCGTCTGTCCAAGGCAACAAATGGGGTTTGTTTCTTCAGTGGTGTGAATTATTGGCACTTTATTGGAGGGCCTCAGCAAACACATCTGAAGGGCTGGATTTTAGGACCAACTGCAGTAATTTTCATATATTACAAAATGGGCAAATGACTGACTGGCTTCCTTGTCAGATGAAACATAAAGTATCAATCAGACAAGACAGATCTTCTTAACAAAAATAGAAGACAGAGTAGAAAGCCAATTTTGACTAGTCCCGCATTCTTCAAACTAAGAAGCCATTTTTAACTTACCACCTAAAAGCATGGCAAATTGGGGTATTAATACATATTTTATCCAGGTCCTGAAGGCACTTTAAAATGCCTGTTTTGTGTCCAGGTATGAGTGAAGGTTCAATTAAATGAGCAAACTCTTATCCAATCAAAGCTCTACTAGGAGAAAAGTTCCTACTTATTATCTCAGGGTAGAATTTGCAGGATAATAAATGATATTCTAAACATACTACTGAGTTTATCTACTCAGGTTTCTATGGAATGAAGCCCAAATACTAGATAAGGAGTAGAGAATGGGAATGAAAAATGCATGAAACACTAACTAAAGCATTTAGTGGGATACAGATGGTATTCAATTCAGTAGTGCAAAATTGCTTAGGAAATGTTGATGGTCCAATTAGTAAAAGAAGGCAACAAGGATACACTGTTTTAAATATCATGGGCCTCTTTAGGCTATTCTTGGCAGTCCTCAAAAACTGACCCTTGCACATTGATTATAAAGTCCCCTTCAGAGTCATAAAGGCATCTAGGCAAGTGTCCCATCTTTAATCACACAGGAAATCTGTCATCCAGACTTTTAAAGGCCACCTTCTGAAGTACTACAACCTCCCCTAGGGTACTGTTGAAGAAATCACAGCTGGGATGTTCCTCTTCATTTCTTCCATGCACAGTTCCTTCTACAATTTAAATTCATTTCTGAGAATGACTAGAACATTTACGATTATCACATGCAAGGGCTTTGAACTTCCTTCCTGTTCCTCTAAAGCTTCTTTTGGGCTCTTCTTATAGAAAGCATAAAAAACTGATTAACACCTCCCACATCATCCATATTGGGGTATAGGAGTCCTTTTACCACAGTTCCAGGAAATGGGAGAGGTGCAGTCAAGCAATGAATTCCTGGCATGTTGTGAAAGGCCTCATTGAGCCTAACCTTCACAGCATTCCTGAAATTAAACGGGAAATGGGGAGCCAACACTCAATACATGATTGAAGAGTTGTGGGGACAAAAGGGCACAACATAATTAAAGACAGAAGAAAATGAGTCAGTCCTTTGGCAAAGAGCCAGCAAGAAGGGTGAGAAAAACAACATCTCAAAAGATGAATCCTACTTCAATATTTTAGAGCTTTGGAATTGGGTAAATAAAAGCGATCAAGAAATAACTACAGCTGAAGAGAAGTACAGCTGAGCTTTCTAATGGTATCTGAATGAAATGGGGGTGATTGCCTTTGAATCAACATTGGCAGCAGTTCACAAACTCTTCATGCAAGAGAAAAAGAAAAACACTTACTAGAGTGTGACTTAGCTAGCGGGTCATCTACCGGGCTCCAAGGAAACTACCCATATTGGTCACTGAGTATCCATAGAAGCAAATCTCTTGAACTAAGAAAGTTTCTAAGTGAAATTTCCACAAGCAGAATATTGGGAGCAAAAAAGATAACTAAACCAAACACACAGAATCAGTATTTTTTGCTATTAATAAAACACTTCCATATTCCTTATATCATTTTGAGTATTTATAACAACCTTGGGAAGTGGAGATTATTTTCCTCATTTTACATACAAAGAAAGACTCCGAGAAATAAGGGATTAGTCTAAAGTCAACAAGTACCATATTCTGCTATGTATAATGCATACTTTTTGCCCAAATTTTTGAGGGAAAATAAGGATATGCATTATACATGGGCGGTGCCTAAAATACCTTGTATCTGTTCTTGTGTTTTGTAGTTATTTTCACATAAAATTTATTGTACTATAATATATTCAAAAAATGCTAAAATTCCTTTATAATACAAGAGCAAGTATATAAATATAAATAAATACAAAATTGAATTAAAAATAAATACAAAAGATTTTTTCCCTGATAGTCTGGGCCAAAAACATGGGTGTGCATTATACACGGGAGCGCATAATACACAGCAAAGTATGGTCAATTAGTGGCACAGCCATTATTACAGCCTAATAGTGTCTAATTGCTCTACCTCCAAGCCCTGCCTTCAATGCCACTTCTCTAGAGACCTAGATGAAATGAGAGCAGTATCCTGAGAAGTCAGTACCACAATGCTGAAAAGGAAGGATGAGTACAGATGAAAGAACTCTTGGTATTACAATAAATGCGCTGAACAAAACTGGTCTTCTAATAGGAAATCATTTTATGAGAGAAAGAGAAGGCAGAATTCTTTGCTGTCCTTTACAAAGTTCCAGGACCTCACCAGAGATCATCTACAGATAGTAAATAAACACATAAAAAGATGCTCCACATCACACATCATCAGGAAAATGGAAATTACAACAGCAATGAGGTATCACCAATATACCCATTAAAATGGGTAAAATCCAAAACACTGACAGCATCTAATGCTGGCAAGCAACAAGAACCCTCATTCACTGCTGGTGGAAATGCAAATGTTACAGACAGTTTGGCAGTTTTTTACAAAGCTAGACTTACTCTAATCATACAATGCAGCAACTGCACTCTTTGGAATTTACCCAAAGGAGTTGAAAATTTATATCCACACAAAAATCTGCACATGTTTTAGAGGCTTTATTCATAATTTCCAAAACTGGAAGCAGCCAAGATTTCCTTCGACAGGGAAAAGAATAAACAAACTGTGGTACATCAATATATTGAATACATATATCAATGATAAAAGGAAGTGAGCTATCAAACCATGAAAAGAGAAAAGACATGAAAGATCTTTAAACGCATATTGCTAAGTGAAAGAAGAAAATCTGAAAAGGCTACATACTGTATAACTCCAACAATGTGACATTCTAGAAAAGGGAAAAAAACAGTAAAAGGAAAGATCAGTGTTTTCCAGGGGTTTGTATGTAAGGGAAGAAGGAAGGGATGAATAGGTTGAGAACAGGGGATTTTTTAGGCCTATGAAAATATTCTGTATGATTATACTTTATTTGTGAATTCATGTCATTACACATTTGTCAAAATCCATAGAAGGTGCAACATAAAGCACAAAGGCTAATGTAAACTATGGACTGTAGTTAATAATACTGTGTCAATATTGGCTCATGAATTGGAACAAATGTATAACACAAGATGTTAAAAATAGGGGAAACTGTGTGTGGAAAGGGGTAGGGTAAGGAGAGAAAGGAAGTATATGAAACGTCTCTGTACTTTCCACTCAATTTTCCTGTAAAACTAAAATTGCTGTAACTATCAAAATCTATTATTTTTTTAACTTAGACTTTAAATGTAAGAAAAAAAATTGCATGTAGATTTAAATTAAACAATCATACAGCAAATATAAATAAAGTCCATATTATTTCTGGAAGCAGAAATATAAATAAATAGATAATTCGCTTAAGATCACTAAAGACCACAATTCTAGTGGACATATTCAATAGTCCAGTTTAGTGTCCTCTGAAATCCTTTCTCGTTGAAATGAATAGAAAGAGGATTTCCACACTAATTTCTCTCTACCGAATGCTAAACCCTCAGGGTAGGAGCTTGAGATAGAATAACCAGATCTATTTCCTAACTGTCTTTACAGTACCAGGCAGCCATGAGACAGAAACCAAACCAGCAAAGCATCCACCTAACCATGAAGACAGGAAAACTCCCCAGTATCAGCAATGATCTAGGCTCCAGGCCCAGTGTTAGCGACCTACCATCATCATCCTTTCATTTTCAACTTCACTCAGTAATTCAGCAAATTCCTTGAAGGATTCAGCTGGAAGGATAAAAGAAAATACATCAAATTAATCATGGCACTTGATGGGCAAGTGGGCAGAAATCTGTACAACAGGAGGTAGGAACCTGTGTGCCAAGCCCACGTGGCCAGTAAAGGAAGGCATCAAATCTAAGGCCAACAGGAGAATGTGTTTAGTGCCTGCAGAATGTTTATTTTTTTTCTTTTTCCCTCTTTTTTCCTGCCAATTCCCCTATCCGAGAGATTTCTTTCTCCACTTTCATTGACATAATTGACATACAACACTGCGTAAGTTTAGGGTGTACGGCATAATGACTTGACACACACGTATTGACAAGTGGTTACCATAATGTGTTTAGTTAGCATCCATCACCTCATATACTTACAAAAGTATGCTTTTCCTTGTTATGAGAAGTTTTAGGAACTATCCCCTTTATAATTCAAATATATTAGACAGCAGTGTTAACTGCAATTATCATGCTGTACATAACATCCCCAGGACTTAGTTATTACTGAAAGTTTACACCTTTGACCACCTTCACCCAAGCACCCCTACCTCTAGCAATCACAAATTTCACTTCTTTTTCCATGAGTTAGGTTTGTTTAGATTTCACATATAAGTGAGATCATACAGTATTTGTTTTTCTCTGTCTGATTTATTTCACTTAGCTTAACGTGCTCAAGATCCATCCTTGAGGGGTATATACATCGAGGTCTGTCCAGAAAGTATCCAGCCATGCACAATGAAAAATAGACATTTATGGAAGAAAATACTACAAGAAACATTGTCCACAGGACAATGATGCCTCAATCCCCTTCCAAGTAGGCACCTTGGGACCTCCCACAGTTCTCCCAGTCGCCATCAGCTGCCCCATCATATTTTCTTGAATCTCATCAACAGTCTGAAATCTCTTCCCTTTCAAAGGTGATTTTAGTTTTGGGAAAAGCCAGAAGTCGCAGGGTGCCAAATCTGGGCCAGAGGGGGGCTAAGTCACCTGGGTGAGTTGATGTTTTGCCAAAAAATCTCTGCCTGAGACATGATGCATGAGTGGGCACCTTGTCATGTGAAGAAGCTGCCAATCACCAGTTGCCCAGAGCTGCAGCCTTCTGACTCATCTGAATAGTTTCCATGAGGAATGTTCAAACCTAACACAAAATGCGATGTAGATTCATTGCTCTACTTGCTCAGTCATTTGGAATGTGATGGCTACACAGTACACATGCTCACTCAACAGCATCTACCACGCACATTCCAATCCACTCTCCTTGACTGCCAGGTTACATCAATGTCACACAAACCATTATCATTATATTAAAAATGGCTGGACTTTTTCTGGATAGACCTCGTACAATCTTTTCAAGTGCACATGGAACATTCTATAGGATAGACCACATGTCAGGGCACAAAACAAGTCTCAATAAATTGAAGAAGACTGAAATTTTATCAAGCATCTTTTGCAACCACAATAGTATGAAAGTAGAAATCAATTACAGGAATTAAACTGAAGACACACAAACACATGGAGGCTAAATAAACTGTTACTAAACAATAAATGGGTCAACAATGAGATCAAGAAAGAAATCAAAAGTTACCTTGAGACAAATGAAAATGAACACACAACAACCCAAAATTTATGGCACACAGTGAGTGTAGTTCTAAGAGAGGAATTCATAGGAACACAGGCCTACCTCAAGAAGAAAAAAAAAAAAAACCTCAAATAAACAACCTAACCCTACACCTAAAGGACCTAGAAAAAGAACAAGTAAAGCCCAAAGCAAGTCAAAGGAAGGAAATAATAAAGACTAGAGCAGAAGTAAATAACATAAAGACTTTAAAATAATATAAAAGATCAATGCACCCAAGAGCTGGTTCTTTGAAAAGATAAACAAGATTGAGAAATCTTTAAGCAGACTCAGCAAGAAAAAAAAAGAAAAAGAGAGAGAACCCAAATAAATAAAATCAGAAACGAAAGAGAATAAGTGACACCAAAGAAACACAAAGGATTGTAGGAAAATATTACAAACAGCTATATGCCAACAAATTAGACAATCTGAGTGAAATGAATAAATTTCTAGAAATATGCAATCTTCCAAAAGTGAATCAGGAAGAATCAGAAAATCTGAATAGACATATTACAACTAATTACATCAAAACAGTAATCAAAAAACAAACAAAAGTCCTGGAACAGATGACTTCACAGGTGAATTTTACCAAACATTCAAAGAACTAACAGCTACCCTTTTCAAACTATTTCAAAAAATTAAAGAGGTTTGAAGACTCTCAAGCTCATTTTACGAAACCATAATTATCCTAACTCCAAAACCAGATAAAGACACTACAAAGAAAGAAAACTATAGGACAATATGCCTGATGAACAAAGACACTAAAATACTGAACAAAATATTTGCAACCCCAATCCAGCAGTACACTAAAAAGGTCATACACCATGATCCAGTGGGACTTATTCTGAGGATATAAGGTTGGTATAACAACAAGCAAAGCAATAAATGTGATAAACCACATAAACAAAATGAAGAATAAAAATCACATGACAATTTTTCTCATATCAATACATGAAAAAAAGTATTTGATAAAATCCAGCACACATTTATGATAAAAACTCTCAGCAAAGTTAGAATAGAGGAAACATACCTCAACATAATAAAGGCCATATATGACAAACCCACTGCCAGCGTCATACTCGGTGAGCAAAAACTGCAAGTGTTTCCCTTAAGATCAGGAACAAGACAGGGATGTCCGCTTTCACCACTCTTATTCAACATAGTACCAGAAGTCCTAGCCACAGCAATCAGACAAGAAGAAGAAATAAAAGGCATCTAAATTGGAAAGGAAGAGTAAATTATCATTATTTTCAGATGTCATAATATTGTGTATAGAGTACGTTAAAGATTCCACCAAGATAACTATTGGAACTGATAAACAAACTCAGAAAAGTAGCAGGATACAGAATAAATACCCAGAAATCAGTTGCATTTTTATACACCACTAATGAACTATCAGAAAGGGAAACTAAGAAAACAGTCCCACTGACAATTGCATCAAAAATATACCTAGGAATAAACCTAAGCAAGGATGTAAAAGACCTGCACTCAGAAAATTATAAGACACTGAAGAAAGAAACTGAAGAAGAAACAAATAAGTGGAGCATATACTGTGTTCATGAATTGGAAGAATTAACATTATTAAAATGTCCATACTACCCAAAGCAATCTACAGATTCAATGTAATTCCTATCAAAATACCAATGGCATATTTCACAAAAGAAAAACAAATATACCAAAAACTTATGTGGAACCACAAGAGCCCCCAAAAAGCCACAGCTATCTCAAGGAAGAAGAAGAGAGTTGGAGAAATCACAGTACCTGTTACCAAACTATCATATAAGGCCATAGTAATCAAAACAGCTTGGTACTGGTATAAAAACATAGTTCAATGGGACAGAACAGAAAGCCCAGAAATAAATTCACACCTTATGGTCAGTTAATATATGACAAACAAGGCAAGAACACACAATGGTGTAAATATAGTCTACTCAATAAATGGTATTAGGAAAATTGTATAGATATGAGCCAAAAAAATCAAACTACCTCTGGCCAAGTAACTCAAGGAACTCAGTTGTCCATAGAGTATTGTCCTGATACAGCAAGGTTGCGGGTTCAATCTCTAGTCAGAGTACATACAAGAATCAGCCAATGAATGCAAAAATAAGTGGAACAACAAATCAATCTGTCTCTCTCTCAAAACAAATCAATAAGTAATTTTTAAAAAATGAAACTAGACCAACTTATTACACCACACACAAGAATAATCACAAAATGGGTTAAAGACTTAAATGTTAGACTTGAAAACATAAAAATCCTTGAAGAAAACAGGCAGTAAAATCTCAACATTTCTCACAGCAATACTTATTTTGATATATCACCTTAGGCAATGAAAACAAAAGAAAAAAAACACATGGAACTAGATCAAACTAAAAACTTTTTGCACAGTAAAGAAAACCATCAACAAAATGAAAGATATCCCACTGAATGGGAGAACATATTTGGCAATGATATATCTAATAAGGGGTTAATACCCAAAATTTATAAAAAGCTTATATAACTCAACACCAAAAAAACAAACAATCCTATTAAAAAATGGGCAAAGGACCTGAATAGACACTTCTCCAAAAAGGATATACAAAAAGATGATCAATGTCACTAATCATCAGAAAAATGCAAATTAAAACCACAATAAGGTATCACCTCACACCTGTCAGAATGGCCATCATCAATAAATCAACAAACAAGGGTTGGTTGAACATGGAGAAAAGGGAACCCTTGTGCACTGTTCGTGGGAATGCAGACTGGTGCAGCCACTGTGGAAAGCAGTGTGGAGTTACCTCAAAAAAATTAAAAATGAAACTGCCCTTTGACCCAGAGATTCCACTTCTGGGAATATATCCAAAGAAACCCAAAATGCTAACTCCAAAGAGTGTGTGCACCCCTATGTTCATTGCAGCACTATTTACAATAGCCAAGATTTGGAAGCAGCTCAAGTGCCCATCAGTGGATCAGTGAATATAAAAGGTGTGGGATACTTCAATGGAATACCACACAGCAGAAAGAAAGAATTCCTACCTTTTTCAACAGCATGGATGGACCTGGAGAGTATTATGCTAAGTGAAATAAGCCAGTTGATAAAAGACAAGTTCCATATGATTTCACTTATATGTAGACTCTAGTGAACAAAGTAAACTGACAAACAAAACAGAAGAAGACTCAGATACAGAGGACAAACTGACAACTGTCAGAGGGGAGGGAGTTTAGGGGCCTTGGTGGAAAAAGGTGAAGGAATTAAGCAAAGAAAAAAAACTCATTGATACAGACAACAGCATGGTGATTACCAGAGGGAAAGGAGGGTAGGGGGAGGTAGACAAGGGTAAAGAGGGCATAAATGGTGATGGATGGAGACTTGACTTGAAATGGTGAACACACAATTCAATATACAGGTGATGTGTGATAGAACTGTACACCTACAACCTATATAATTTTATTAACCAATGTCACCCTATAAATTCAATAAAAATTAAAAAAATAAAATTGAAAACAAATTAAACAAAAAACTTATAGATACAGAGAATAAACTGATAGTCACCGGATGTGAGGGGGATTGTGTGGACAGTTGAAAAAGGTGAAAGGTATGAAGTACAAAGTGCCCATTATAAAAAAGTGACAGGGATTTAAATTACAGCAGAGGGAATATGGTAAGTAATATTGTAGTAACTGTGTCTGGTGTCAGATGGGTATGTGACTTATAGGTGGGTCACACTGTAAGGTATATAAATGTCTATTCACTACATTGTACACCTTAAACTACTATAATATTGTATGTGAACTGTAATTGAAAATTAATTTTTAAAATACTAATGATAATACATTTTCATGGTTTATTTCTGGGGGTTCATAAATAAAATTGTTACTAACTTGTTTCAGTGACATTAGATTATTCACAATAGTTTTGTGGTTCAGTGTTTTAATCTAACAAATGGTTTACACTGTTTAACTCAGTGGTCACCAAACTTTTCCTTAAATGGCCAGAGGGCAAACATTTTAGGCTTTGAAGGCCATTCTGTCTCTGCCACTACTATTTAGAGTTCCTGTTGTAATACAAAAGCACCCACAGATAATGCTGAAATGAATAAGTGTTACTTTGTTAAAACAAATCTTTATTTAGGAAACAAAAGTAGAGGGCAAGATTTGGCCCACGGGCCATACTTTGCTGACACTACCTTAAAACTTCATAACAACTAGCACAAAGTACTTTTTCCTTCCACTTTTCAATCTCGTCTTTGTAGCATCCTTGAGAGAGAGAGATTAATCACGTTTTACAGAGACAAGACTAAGGCTTGTAGAGAGGAAAAGCTTATGCACCATCACACAGCTCACAGTGCAAGTTGCTACATTTATTTCCCAAGGGAGATGCCAAGTCTTCCTTGCCTGAGGAGCTGTACTTCTACAAATGCTAATTTTAAACTTTCTAAGGAACTTGTTTCTTTGAAGAATATTCCTCTTGACTCACTTTGGAATATAAACAGAAAAACACTCTTTAATTTATCCATTACAAAAATGTATTTTTTCATGCATCAAATTCTTTAAAGAAAAATTCCCCTACATACTGAGTAAAAGGCCACACTGGAGGTTTAAGAGCTATCTTTTGAATGCTCTTGGTGAGGAAGGCACAGGACTGGGAGAAAATACATCTTTATCCTTCTTACACAGACTCCCAGGAGCTTGGTACTTGACCACGGGAGATAAAGCTGCCCAGGTTCTGTGCATCCACAAACCAAGGAGGATGCATGGTCTCAGACCTGCATTGATAGGCACCTGGCATCATGGAGCTGAAGGCTTACCAATGTTAATCTCGTCATCAGTCAGAGTGTCTCCAATGAAATCAAACTGAAAGGACTGTAGTGTCTGGGAAAACTTCTGAACAGCTGAGGAATAATCTGCAAAGGAAAGGAAACAGTGTAAATAGTCAACATTGCTGCCCTCTGACTGATAGCCTCATCTCTGTTAGGACACATAGGAGAAAAGTTGAGGAAAATGCTTCCAGCAGATAGCAACTTGCACTGAATGGTGATAAACAAAAGATCGGTCTGTCACAGAGTATTTGAGCAACCAAAACCACACACTTAGAGAGGAAGGAGAACAGCTTAGTGAAGTCTTTTAAATTATGGGACGTGTTTTTTCTTCAATCCCTGTTTTCTCTGACCCGTTGTACCCAAAACCTATAAGACCTAAATCTAATTCCTTGTACTCCTAAGAGTCTCCTTTAGCATTTATTGAATTCTCATTATGGGCGATGAAGTATATGCTTTCTCACCTCTCACCAAATAAATACTGACAGTCATTTGACAAAGAAAAAATTAGCTCCAAGTCCCAGAGCTAGCCAGAAGAGCTGGAACTAGAAGTCAGGTGGTCTGTCTGCCTCTCAAGGGCCCTTTCCTTGACAACACAGGCAACGTCTGGACTTTTTATGCACTGACCAGGTGACAGCCTGGGTTAGCATGCAATCTGACAGGATCAAATCTGACTTGCTCACAAGTCAAATTGGTATGGCCACACATATGTTTTTAGCTTTAGCAAATGACTTGGAATTTTATTATATAAAAGTTTAATGATAGTATAAAAGAAAATCACAAATAGCTACTACCCTTTGGACAAATGATCTTTATTCAAATTTTTAAAATATAACCTGCACCAAAAGGTCCAGCTGAACTCTCCCCAGTTGCTCAGAACAGCAGTCTCAGCAGCAGCTGGGAGCTTGATGGAAATACACACTCCCAGGCCACGCCCAGACCAGCTGAATCAGAATCTGCAGTTTTAGACAATCTCTAGGGGATTACTGTGCTCTTTAGAGTTTGAGGAGCACTGCTTTCACCAACCAAAGTAACTCATTAAAGCATCTTCTAGAAAAACACAAGCTTGCTGCTTATTTTTTGTTCCCTGTTCCTGTTTCTTCTTTCACTCCCTAGTTTCATCATCTGCCACCTTCACATCTAGCAGATACACAGGCTTACTGACATTTTCGCTCTCAGGCTAACAGAAAGTGAGACAATACAAACAGCATCTATTCCTTTCAATAAAAAGCTCTTGCAGTTAAGCTATCATGATTAAACACAATAAAATGTGTTCAGGCATTTGTCCAGAACAGATTAACCTGCCAAGAATTTTATTACCATTTTGTCTATGCCCCCTTTCCAGAGTCCTTATTTTCAGTACTTAAGAGTCCTGACCCTTTGAACACATCACTGATGATGGGGATGATGATGATGATGATGATGATGGTGGTGATGATAAAAAAAAGGTTTTACAGGAATTAGGGACTGCTGACCACGTTACCAGGCCGTCTCAAATTTCCAGTTTAGAATCATATTTTCCACTTCGAATCCGGGCCACGAAAAAGTGAAAGAAGCGTGCATACCCTGTACCCCACATTTCATCAGCAGAGAGAACATAAAACTGGCTCCGTGTCTGGAAAACAATTGCTTTTCTCTGGCCTACTTGGCCAGCAGCAGAAAAGGGCAAGTCCAGAATTCCCCATGTGCTCTGTTTCACTCAGGGAAATGGAATAAAAATATTCATTATATTGCCCTTTCGCACATACCGGGATTTCTTAAATGTTACCTTAGCAAAACAAGGTAACATTTGTTTTCATTTCTCTTTGAGAATTATCTGAACATTTCATAAACCACAAATAATATGATTTTCAACATTTATAGTACTTTTGTACATAAAGGCATGGAGTAAAGATGGAGTTATATTCATTCCCTTTTTTGTTATTTGCACCACTTCTTTGCTTAAATAGTTTTAATTTTTCAGTCACAGTTGGCATATATTATTATATTAGTTTCAGGTATAGAACCACCTCTCTTCTCCAGACTTCTGGCCTTCAAAACACTACCTTACATATTCATGGAGCTTGAAAAAGTTTATGAAGGCCTTTCTACAAACACTCTCATTTATTCTTCCAAACTATCCAAAGGCAGATATTACTATTCTCACCTTATAAACAAACAAAAATAAGAGGCAATGCAGACAAATCCCATTCAGAAATATGAACAACCATAAATTAACTGTTCTTCATAGAAGCTTATTATTTATTTGGCCTCTATTTTATGCGGGAAGTGCTAGGAAAGACTCATATATTTTAGGTAAATGATTTGGGTAACTTCTGGACTCCAAAGAATCAACAAATAACCTAGAAGCGCTTGCCATGTATAGGACATTTATTTTCTTAACATCTTTAAAATCACTGCATCATTCCAAACTAGTCATTTTATCCTCTCCAATACTTCCTTATCTCTGTCTAACAACATTATCTCACAATTTTTCATACTATCTTTGAGGGTTCCCTCTCTATCACCTTTTCCTTACTCACTTTATAATATAGTTAGATAATGTCTTGTAGGCTATTGAAACTCTCTGGGAAAGAAGTAGAATATAAAGAGGATTAATTAGTTCATTAATTAGCTAATATTATATAAATACCAATTTTCTTTTTATCACTATACTTTTCTATGGCCTCATACAGAATATACTTTTTTGTCAAACTTACTTAGGTCTGCAACATGTCTTGAAAATACACCTACTTTTTTTTTTTTTTTAAACCCAGAACCTATTAGAACCAACATTGCGGAAGCTCCGAAAACCAGTAAAAGGTTTGTTGCAACCAATCAAAGGCCCAGTCAAGAAGAACATAACTTCAAAGTAGCAGGAAAGATGTTTGGTGTTTTTGCTAAACCTTGTTGCCCCCATGGGGTACCGGTATTGGTTTTAAGCAAGTGGCAGCCTGTTTCCTGATTCCTCAACTCAAACAATAGGAAGCAGAGCCAACTTCATTTGCAAATTATAATGTCCTTTATAATTTGCACAGGGGTGACCAGGGGCAGGGCTGCCCCAGGCAGGGTGTCCCATGGTCTCCAGCTCCCTGCATCCTGGGGCCTCCCACTGTTCCAGAAGGCATGACGTTCCCCCGACTGCCCAGCCTGGGGAGGCAGAGACAGCCTGTCCGGGGCCTGACAACCCTGGGCTTGGGGTCTCATGAGTCCCCAGCCCCTCCCAGGCTGCAACTGCGAGTTGGACTTCACAGAAGGGATGTGCAAGGACCTGACTAGCCGCTGCTACTGCCTGCTCTAACTCATGTGGAAGATCCCTAAAGGACAGATCCAAAGAGATCATTTCAGTTTCACAAAAGATGCTAGGCAGGGAATGCTCATAAAAGATACAAGGTAGCTACAAACCTACTAAATTAATTGGCTAAGGGTTACCATGACAACGGGACATAAACTGGGGGCTTAAACAACAAAGAATTTATTTTATCACAATTCTGGACACTAGCAGTCTGATACTAAGGTGTTGGCAGGATCGGTTTCTTCTAAGGCCTCTCTCTTTGGCTTATAGGTGGCCGTCTTCCTGTTGTGTCTTCACACGGTCTTCCCTCTGTGTCCTAATCTATGGTTCTTATAGAAAACCAGTCATGTTGGATTTGGGCACACCCATATGACCTCATTTTCCATAATCACCACTTCTAAGGCCCCAAATCCAAATAGACTCACAACATGAAGTTCCGGGGGTTAAGACTTCAACATATTAATTTTCAGGGACACGATTCAGCCCATAAAAGCCACAGATTGCTGGGGCAAGAGATAATAAGTGGAGACATACAATAAATATACCATCTAACGCCCCTATTTGAAGTTAGGCTGAGACTCTTTGGAAAATTATGACATTCAAGAGCAGCCATGTACATGGGAGAAATTTAGAAAGCACAAGCCAAAGCAAGATGCTGGTCAGAAAAGAGTTGAGAAGAACCTCGTGCCTCTGGCTGTCCTTAGGCTCAGAACAAGCCTAACTAAATGGTGGAGTGGCCCAGCAAAAGGCCAACTGCAAAGACTAGGAAAGAAGGCTGGTCTGCCCTTTTTTTCCTATATGCTTTTTGTTTGTTCATTTGTTTGCTTCTTTGATCTCCTGAAATTCAAGGAAATCTCTATCAAAACATGAACTGAAAACAGCTAAACAAACACTCTTCAGTGATCACACATTACAAGGGATAATCATCACAAATATAGTTTGTAACTGTCTCAAGACAAATGGACTACAACAGCCTTCAAAAATCAAAAATTTGCCCAGGCTGGTGTGACTCAGTGGATTGAGTGCCCGCCTGCAAACCAAAGGGTCACAGGTACAATTCCCAGTCAGGGCACATGCCTGGGTTGCGGGCCAGGTCCTTAGTAGGGGGCGTGTGAGAGGCAACCAATCAATTTTCTCTCCCTCTCATTCTCCCTCCCTTCCCTTCTCTCTAAAAATAAACAAATAAAATCTCTAAATCTTTTGTTAAAAATTAAAAACAGCAAACTCTATGGCAATGGGAGAATCTACTCTGATTTCCTGAGTTGCCACATTAAAATAATAAAATGCTCAACTTTCAACAAAAAATAAAATCACAAGGCATGCATGCCCTGGCTGGTGTGGCTCAGTGGATTGAACACCAGCCTGTGAACCAAAGGGTCACCGGTTAGATTCCCAGTCAGAGTACCTGCCTGAGTTGTGGGTCTGATCCCCAGTAGGGGGTACACAAGAGGCAAGCACTCATGGATGTTTCTCTACCTCCCTTCCCCTCTGTCTGAAAATAAACAAATAAAATCTTTTTTAAAAATCACAAGGCATGCAAAGAAACAAGAAAACAAGGCTTATTCAAAGGAACAAAATAATTGACAGAAACCAACCGACACTGAACTTAGTAGACAAAGTCTTTCTAACAATTGTCTTAAATATGCTCAAAAAGCTAAGGACAAACATGGAAAGAGAAGTAAATGGAATCATGAAAACAATATCTGAATAAAGTAAGAATGTGAACAAAGAGATAAGAATAATGAAATAAAAACAAAGAAGGACATTATATGTTATACAAGGACCAATTTACCAAGATGATATAAAATTATGA